GATAAATAACCTCAGAGAAGTCTTGACATAACTCAGTAAGGCCAAAATGTATTTATGAAATTCCTGAATATATTTAACTTCTCTGACATTCTCCATTACAAATGCTTTTGTGTTGGAATTGTATAACTTTTCTGTTTTGTGTCAATATCTACTTTTTCAGACATGCAGGCAACTTAATTTTAAAAATATATATTTTTTGTTGCTATTTTTATTATTATTTTAAGAAATAAATTATCCAAAGTATGAAGAAAAGAAAATGTATTTTGTATAAAGTTTCTCTCGTTCTTATTATATTTAAATATAATATTTGGCTTCTGGTAGGATTTCAAAAATAATAAGCCCATTATTTAGCTTTTGTAATTAGTTGTTATTTAGATATTGCAAAAATATCAAAATAACTTGCTTGAGTTTTGGTTATTAGTATTTAACACCACGAGTTTGTGAACAAAGCCAAACTCTGAAATAACTAGAACATTTAAACTGTTTGACTTACAAAGTCTTTTAGACATTTCTGAATGGTGATTGTCCCTCCATGCTTGTCTTCTGATTGAAGCCAAGCTGCAACCGTTTATACAGCACTCAGTTACCCTCCAGCCATGCTCACAAATTGAATTAATTTTGTCTGAATTTGTGTTTTCAATCTCGTAATTATTTTTTTTAACCCCAGAGGAAGCCAAGAGAAATGAGTCACATCTTCACAAGTGGTGAAATTCGATGCTCTATGATTTAACACCAACCAAAGGGACAGGAGCCCGAAGCGTTGCAATTTACCAACCATTCATCTGTTAGCCGATTCAATCACACCACATTTAACATCTTTCAGAAAATTAGATAAATCTCATGGAAAAACTTTTCTGCTCAAACTAATCTCCTTAATCCCAATTTGATCTTGCGAATAAGCTGTATCTTTTGTCTGTGTCCTTAAATCAGTCACAAAAAAGTCAACGAAAGGTGAACAAACTTTTAAACCGCAGATGACTCCAACACACATGCAGCTCCATTTAGATAAAAGAACTGATTACAGGGCATGAGGAGTGTCCAGTCTCCATTACTGTTTCCTCAGACGTTTGACAGATGTAGCCAGGACAGTTATGAGCTACCAGGGTTTATCTTATGGAAAATAAAAGTATTTTCTATCAAGTTTAAGTTTCTTTAGTAGAAGCTCAAGTCCGCTGTTAGCCAAAAATATTAGTTAAAAAATAACTCACTGTATTTCACGTAAAATATGACGTTACATGTCTCTGGAGAAGAAACTAAAGCAACTGTGCCTGTGGACAGGAAGTGAATGCAAACTAATGAACACTTAAAGGGTTGAATCGTGTTGTTTTAAATTCAAACTATTTGTCACATTGACTTGGTTACAACTTTACCAAGAAAAGAACAATTGTAATACAAGGTATTCTGCAAAAAGTATTGATGCAGCAGTTAATATCAAAGTGCATAGAAAGGAGCTTTACAACCTCAACATTTGAAAACATTTTGTGTGTAAGAATGGGTTACACTGTTTCTGAGCATCGGACTACAGGAAAGAAGTCCTGTAGTCCAAATATTAAACAAAGAATTGCACTTTTTAACCACAGCAAATTTCTACTATCAGCATTTGTGAATCTCAGCTTTAGTAGCGTAGCATATCTTTGCAGTTTGGGACTTTTGGTCAATTTAAGTGCCAATCTAAACATACAACACTATAGACCTGTGCTTCACAGATAAAGAACCAACAATTTATTTCTATTAGATGTCTGCCTTGAAGATGTTTTGCTATGTCATTGCTTGACTTTTTATTTGTGAATAGAAATATCCTTTTTTTATTAAATAGCTTTTAGCCAGTTAGTCAGAAGCAAAAGGACATGCACTTGTGCAAATATTCCCTGGACTTTTTGTTTTGTATTAAAAGAAAAAGTAAATGTGAAGATCCATTGAGCATATAGTCCATATTTAATTGTCTGTGACCAGGAAGAGTTGTGGGTTGACAAGCTGTCTATGTGATGTCTCATTTTGTCCAAATGACCAGTTGGCAGAAGAAGCCAGCAGGAAAAGACTCAGCTTTTTGTTCCTAATACAGATCCTAGTTATTAAACATACATTATTTTCCAATATTCTTTTACACCCAAAATTTGCCCATTGCTTACCATGTGTACAATAGTTATTAAAACCAGTTTTAAGGTAATGACTGATGCACTGGCCCAAGTCAGACACCCATATAGTAATTGATCATTTCTTTTTCTTTCCCTGCTTCTTTATATCAATTTCTTGCATTATTGTGCAAAGCTTGATTGCTTGCTTTATATTCTCTGCAGCATGGCATACATAAACTATTTGGCTTATATTTGATTAATTAGCAACTTGTTCAATGTCTAAAAAAAAGAAAACTGAGTCAATTCAATTGATTTGGCTGCGTATTAATCTGAATTTGAAATTAATTAGTTTGTCTTGTAAGAAGCCTTGAAGTAGCATTTGGTTTAACTTGGTGTTATGTTAAGTCAACTCAACTGAATTAATGTACTAAGTAATGCTGTAAATAGCACTGTCACACAGCAGTAGTTACTTGGGGTGTTGTTGGATGAAAGGTGGATGTTTTTATGTTTGGTATAATACAGTGGTACATTGTTTGTTCTGAGTTAGTAGACGGATGGGGAACCTCACATGAAAATGTAAAAATTAATTTGACTTGTCTCTTCGTTCTTCATTAAGTACCTGAACAATGCGGCTCAAACTACTGTACATCTAAAATATCTACTTCATAGAGTTCCCTGGCTGCAAGGACTCCTGAATGCTACAGAGTAGCATGTAAATACATGGTGAAAACAATTCCTGTAATATATTATGTCATGTAATATTATAATATTATAAAAACACTAAGTGTGTTTGATTATGAACTGCAAATACAAAATTCCTAACAGTAACCAGAAAAAGTCACGTTGACATGACTGAAAATTGCAATACAGATTTTATTGGTTAAATTTTAACTTGTTTTGTTTCATAAAGCCGTGACCTTCTGTGCTTTTCCAAAAGCTTTATTAGATAATGAAGTCTTTCTCCACAAGCCTGAGTGGCAAGTATTGTTAAATGCAGACAATTGGGAAGCCTAAGTGCTTGTTTTGTCTTTTGTTTGTTAGATCTTTGTTCCAGTTTGCGCATCCTTATCCTTATTTCTACTCAATCTTTGCTCTGCTGTGCCATTTCCTTTACTGATGTGAGTGACAGCATTTGTATGATTGCTTAGACATGTGTCTCTTAGGCTGTACTGCTGGCTGACTCTTGAGTCAAGAGCAGATTTCAGGCTGAACTGTAAAGACTACCATCAGCTTTCTTAAGTGCTGTCAATGTCACATGCAAACAACAATGCTGCAGCCTCTTAATTGGTTTAGGAAAAGCATTATTGTCATTTTGCAGATAGACTGCGCTAGAGAAGATGAAGTCCAAGATTCTTCCCCCTCCTTGATACCCCACACAACCAACCTGACAAAATAATAATGATGATGATTATGTGCCCTGTATGTTTTTTGTGATTTCTGTTTTTACTTTGGCTTTTAGAAATAATTGCTGTTGGTTGTGTGGGAGCATCAGAAGAAGGGCATTAATGATTCTTGCTGGCTGCATGGAGGAATTGCACTGCGGTGGTCTGGAAAGAGCACTCGTTTACTATTCGAGTGTTGAATATGTGTGAGAGATGGCATGTTAGCGTTTCTGCCTGAATGTGTTTAGTAATATATTTTTAGATGTTTCCTCCCTTTGTTTTGCAGTGGATAATGTGTGGCATCTATTATAATTAAATTTCTTGTGTGCATGTCTGTGTTTGTCTGATCACTTTAATGTGTGTGTGTGTGTGTTTGTGTGTAAATTATGTGCGTAGCTGTGCTTTTTTTTTTTTAATGGCTTAGCTGGTGGATGCTGCAGGTGGATGATCAGACTGGGAGCAGACTGGGGCTGATCTGCGATCACACAGGGATTATGGGGGATATGGAGCTATACAGCATTCCAGGGTTGCCTCCAGTTAGGCTCATCTCCGCCATGCTCCCCTCACACACACCACTTTAATTGCCTTTGCTTCTTTCATTACTTTTATTGCCTCTCCTCTGCATTGCTTGCTCCCCGGGCTTGTGGAAAGGTCATTGTGATGGCAGTGGTGTACTCACAGCCACCCTCTCTGACGAGTAGAAAATGGCTGTGGGGCTGAAGCTTTCAGGGAAATAGAGACCCACAATGAGTATGGACTGTCTTTACAAATTATATAGTAAATATTTTTTAAGTAAGTCTGCAAAGAAAGCGTGTGCCAGCATACAATCTCGACAGTAAGATGGATTCCCATTTGGTGGCAGCCTCACAATGGAAATATACAAAACATAACAAGTCTGACAACCTGTATGCAAACAGTATTATTAAAAAGAAAAATGAAGATGGAAAATGCATTATCATTATTAAAAATGACTACCTTCGTCATCTGAGAAAGAACTGGGCGTTGTTTGAGAACTAATAGCTCTTCCAATAAACATTAAGAAGGTGACAGCCCTCAGATAAATGGCATTTTCAAGTTGTCTTGTATCTCCTGCTCACAATACTGAGTTAAAAAGGAGCATTGGCTTTGACAAAATCCCCAGTGTTTAATAGTTTAAATTATAATACAATAAAGTTTAACTTATGGCTCAACCTCTTAACCACAAATGTTCTGTTATGTTCTTTAATGATGTATGCTCTGTAAACTAAAAGAATATTTTTGATCGTAATCAACCTGGCATGCAATTAGTGTCAATGGTAAAGACACGATAATAATTCTGATAAGATCTCAGAATTATATACTTGTATCTTACACATTGGTATGTAAGATGAAAATCTTAGACACAAGTAAATTCACTGAATTGCTTATTTGAATTGCTTATTTATTTACTAAGCTAAACAAAATTTATCGATTCATTACACACGCACTCATAAATATTTGTAATATTTATGATGGTTTTTCACTTACTAAATGAAAACACAATATTTAAGTTTCAAGTATTAAATCAGACCAATAAAGTAAATAAATACAGTAATGTCAGTTCAATAAAAATTATGATTACTTCCTGATTAAAGGTTGGCATTTCCAAAAGTAATTAATGATCTGCCAAACGAGCCTCAGTTTAACACATACTCCAACTCATTGAATATGACTGTATCCACTTTCCACAGACAAATATTTCGATTATGTATTCCAGCCACAGATTTCCTCATTGGCACTAAGAGTTTTTGGGACTTGTACTTTGAAGGACGGCATATTCAGCAGAATAAGTAAGGCGTTATCCTGTCGGTGATAGGCTGGCCCAGGCCAGTTGTGACTACAATGTAGTAGCTTACCACCATCACTGTGCGAATATGCAGATGATTGGGTGAATTTGGTGTCCTCTGGACTTGATAAAGTGCAATACAAGCACAGACCATTTATCGTCCTTGTAATTCTCTCTCCCATAAAAGTTTGTGAGTGAATCAACGAGTAAAAGAGACAATTGTGACTTATAAAAGACGCTAACGTTGGATTTCCATTTATTTATTCTAAAACTTGTCTGACTTCCATCTTTTTGCGCTGCTCTTTCACAAAATTATCCCAGGCTGTGTAATGTGGGAAAGTGTTATCACTCCTTGCTCATCACTTATTAACTTTTAGGTTGAGGCTGTAGTTATAAAAGATTAGATTCTTTGAGCGGAGAGTGAAACGTGTTTGGCAGCACTGCTGTGTGAGGCAGAAGCTTGAGGAGGAGTGGTGGGTAAGTAGGCGACTCATTGTACAAGCAAGCGTTTAGGCACCCTGAGTGGTTGCCACAGGAATTCAAAGGATGTCTCAAACGTGCATGAAAGAATCAAAGTAATCCTCTGGGTATGTTTTTATGTTTTGATGAGGGAATGGTATTAAAAATATATATCAAGCTCAAAAGTTGTATTTACGCAATATCTCTGATCTAACAAATACGATTCCTTTCAATTCCACGTAAATCTCTGAAGTCCCAATTATTTGAAAATGTGTTTTATTTTTAGCTTAGCTTTTTTTTCCTTTTTGTTTTGCTCATACAGTTTTTCATCACATTTTATCTCCTTCCTGGCTGTTGTTTGTGTTCAGCATACAATGAGACCATGAATGGTGTAGACATAGGTGGCAGTGTGGGAGGTTTGTTTTATTTTAATAAAGGTTATGATCATGTCTCACAGCAACAGCTGTGCCCCCAAGGTTGTTTTACTCTCTCAAACAGACTACTTTAATCTACATCATAAACTACACATTATTCCCTCTTAGAACCAAACTCTTAAAAATTGAAAATACAACAATGGCTTAAGTGCGGTAGTGACTGTCACTCTGTGGTGCACAGGAGATTTTGAGCTCATCAAACTGAGATCGTTGGTCTCGAGCCTGAACAAAAAAGGTAAATGATAAAAACAGAGAATTGTCATTCATATCTTTTCCAGCTTTATTTTAGGTATAAACGTCAATGAATATTTGTGCTTAGTTTAGCTTATTACAGCGCTTAACATTGAACTGTGACTAAAGAGATTTGATGTCATTATACTGTAACTATTACCAATAGGTGTAATAGAGAGCAAACACAGCAGTCATGATGTGTATGTTATTTTGTGTAGTTGACACAGAATTCGCTGACAGAACATTTTGCCTGCTCAAAATGGCTCCATTTAGAGTCTCATTAAAGAGCTTATTTTGACAAAACAGGGTTGTTCTTATTTTAAGACAAAGGCAGTGAATCCCTGACAGGCTGCTTGTAGTGCATTCCTTTAAAAATCTGAGTAAACTCTACAAATTTTTCTGAGGAACTGCTTACTTTAAATAAGCAGGAGGTTGCAAAAGTGAAGTATTGCAGAAAATTAAAGGAGGCTGTGCTTAATGGATCTCAAATCTCTTAAGTGGAAATCAAAACCAGAACTTGGCTAAGCTTCTACTTGATCAAAGCTTAGCCAAGCTATTGGCAATAAGTCGGTGCTAAATCCTATCAATGAAAAAATAACCTAATGCGCTGAATATGTTACAGTTTTCGAGAAAACATTGAATGGTTTGAAGAGAAATGGTGACTGTTTTTTGGACTGATAGAAGTGATGCTGCAGGTGTAGACAGTGTATCATACGAGCTGAATTCAAACCAGAGTACATGTATCATTGTGCTACTATGGGAATGTTTCTCACACTGTGGTGTCTGGCCAATTCACGCAGTAGGGATCATGGATAAGTCTGAATATTTCAGAATACCAGAAGAGGTCATGTTGTCTCATGCCAAAATGTAAATGCCCTAGAAAGTTGTGTTTCACCAAAAGATCAACCCAAATCACACCACTAGGCATCTTAGAACCAAATCAGCATGTTAAAAGTGACCATCCCCATCACTGGACGTAATACAACAAAGAATTCGGGGCAGGATATTAAACATGCTGTTTCTGAGGTAAAACCAAGAAAAGCAGACAATTTGTGAAACTGTTTGTCATTCACCCTCGGCTGGAAGAGAGTTGCTCACTGTATGACATCAGGAAAATCTCTTTTTGATATTACAGCTCCAGATATTGATTAGGAATAATTCACATTTTCCTGGCAATTTCCTTTCTTTCCCATCATCATGACGTCCCCACAATTCAACATATTTCCATCTAAATATTAGCCCATATGTTCAAAGAGAAGCTACATTTTCAAGCATTTTCTGTCTAGTTCATAATGTACAATGCAGACACTGCAATTTTCAAACCATCTATTATTTACTTTCTGTAGCTCAATAATAAATTTCATAATTTCCCTCACATTTTGTTGTGGGAAAAATGTGCAGTGTTTTCACACACTATAAATAAGGATATTGTGACTTACAAATTCAAGAATACTGAATATTTTAAGCAATCTTGATATCTTGCTGGTCACAGAATGATACCTTGTCAATACTTGTTTCTTTTTTGCTTTGGAAAGTGGAGTTATAATGCAACATAAAAAGTTATTCAGCAAATTTCTACAGTCCCAGTCCTGTTTATTGAAACGGAGAATGAGAACAGTTTATGTTTTAGATTATTTTGATGTTATTTTGATGAGTTTACTAGTACCAAAGAGTATTTTTCTTCTTTTTCGAGAACAAAAATTGTTTGAAGGGCTGAAATTCAGTCAAGCTATGGAGTCCATCATCTCGTTACTGTGATACTCCTGGCTTTGCTCCTCTCCCAAAAGAGGGACAGCAGTCCTGTACAAGCCATCTGTGACTACATGTTCCCTGTTTTTACTTTGGCCGACTCCAGAGACCTCCGTGAAAAAGAAGAAAGCTTTCAGGCAGAGCAGGAACGTTCCTGGAGTGACTCATCTAAAACACAGGTCAATAGAAACACTCAGCAACACATCACAGACACTGAAAAACAAAGATGCTTCATTACTCCGAGGACTCTATTGTCTGTCATGGTGGATCTTTTTTTTTTTTCTTGCTCTGGGATTAGCATAGGATTTGATGTGTTTGTTTGACTAATGGTCAGTGTTTTGTGGCTGTAAAATCAGCAGCCCAGGAGTCTTGGAGAGCCAAAACACCGGTGTTTGAAATGCCACCATCCTTTCTGGTGGAACCTCTGGGTCCTGTCGCTAATGAAGGCGTGGTGCCAGCATGTCCCTGCCAGAGCAGAGGTTCTCCTTTACATACAAACACATTTAGCACATTTCTTGTTCTTCATCCACAATGACCTTCTCTTTAGTCTGCTCGGCTGCAGCTGACCTGTGTGCTCCATTAATGACTGATGGCAAAAGCTTGTTAACACTGAAGACACTTTTCTGCCGGGAAATGTTGAGACTGACAAAGAGAATCTATAATCAAAGGACAATGAAAGGCACTGGAGGAAAATGTCTCGACTCCCTGGGGTACTTTGGTCCTCCAGAGTTTACAAACTTTCCACACTGAAGACCCAAGGACTCTCCATAAGTGTCTCTGTTTCTGGTCACCGACAGCCCACAGGACACATCTCCCAACCTGCAGCAGAACAGAAACTTTCAGCTCTTTCTAAATAAAATATGAATTCAATGTGTTGCTTTTGAAAGGGTTGCTTATTGATGGAATCATATCTTACGGCCAAAAAAGATGTAATTTTCCTCAGCCAGAATCTCCTTGCCTCAGAGTAAGCCCAGCTTGTGTTACCTGGCATTTTCTTGCAATACATTCTTATCCCACATCCTCTTAAATTGAAAGCAGGGAAATTGGAGCTGATTGAAGGGATTCGGTTTTGGTGATGGAAGGACAGAAGTACGAAGAGAAAGCTGTGAACCCAATCTGCCGTGTGTTGACTGTACTGATTAGGGGCTTGTGCTAAGAAGAGCCTCTCTATCCCCTCATTCCTTCTGTTTACTTTGAACCTCACAACTCCTTTCAAAACAAGCACCCTTCTCATCTCACCCTCAGCTGGATCACCTGCATCACAGGAGGCACAAGTCTTTGTATGTCATTCAGACCAATTAAGAAGATGACAACTTGGGCTAGAATGAGCAAGTTAGCGCTTTCATTGCAGAGGGGCCATAAGCCATGTTTAGTAATATAAGGAGAGTAGTGAAATGTAGCGAAACCTCCAACATTCCTTATAAGCGGGTGTTCCACATCAGATAAAGCCAGCTGCAAACCCAGTCAATTACGACTACTGGAACAATGTTCAGCTAATGTTTTGCAACGTTTCGAAAATCTTCGGGGAGCAATAATTGGAGCATTGGCCTTACAAGCAAACTGGAGACACAAGAAATTATGCACTGATAAATAAGGGGTGGAATAGAAAAAGAGAAGCTAAGAAAACAGCACATCTATTTTCACGCATCATGTTTGCTTATTTATGATTTCTAAAGGCCTGGTCTGGTCTGGATGCGTGGCAGGGGCTGGGGAAATAACTCAGCCAGCCTATTGCCCTCAGCGTCCGACTCCCAGCTTTCATTAAGTGTCATTACCAGTACTTTCCAAAAAGCTGGCCAGCCTGAGACCTTACATCCCCTCTGCAGATAGTTGTCCATGCATATGGATGTATTTCTGATCCCTCTTATCCACCACTGAGGAGGGGGAATTAAGGCAGCGAAAGGCAGAGGACAGAGCTTAAAGGCGGCATCCGTATCTGACTGTTAAGGCAAAGATGAAGCTATTAATTCATCTTGTGGTCAGTTTTCATGCTGCGCTTGTCGTTTTCAGAATGTCACTCACATTATCACCATAGATTTTCATTTTATTTACTTTCATTTTCATGACCGTATGGGTTACTTACACCCATTTCTGACTGAGCAAATGTATTTAATGTTCTTGCGAGGAATTGTATTTTTGTTTCAGCCAGTGTAAAATATCTATGCTATTTTAAATTGTGAATGTCGAGCAGCACGGTATTCATTAGCAATTTGCTGTTGTTGCTCTGTTGCTTTGAGGCCGTCTCTTGATTGATGGCAGAGCTTGTTGTGTTTATTTGTATATCGGGGTCTGAAAAATTCATATTGTATGCTTTTTCGAGCAGAAGTTATCGAAATTCGGTGTAAATGGTACTTGGGATTAGATTTTCACAGCAGATTGCTGTTATTAAGGAAAAAAAGCCTTCTCCTTTGAGCAGTCATCTTCCTGGGAGGCAATCCATTTCTCTTTCACGCAGCCCCGAGTGCCGGACCAGGCTCTTAATGCACTGAAGCAAAAGTGCTTCGGTCCGCAACCTTTCACGCCTTCAGCTCTCCTTTATGTGATTGAATAGTTAATAACTATAAGTCGCCTTTGAAAGCTTTGTGCCTCCATCCTTCTGAGGCGCTGCTTGTCTTTTTGTTTGCTTGGTTGTTATACCTGCCCGCTGATCTGTCTGTCTGCATGTCTGCTTGCCCCCGACGGCAGGTCGACTGTCTGCACCAGCCCCTCTGACTTTTATCTTTGTGTCCCACCTGACTTGCAGCCTGTGTCTGGCTGTCTTGGTTTATACATCCGAATATTGAGGGCTGTGGATCTCCCTTTTTTATCTTGCGCTTCCTGTTTATCTTCCTGTACATTTACACAAGCCGACAGACTCCCTCACACAGCTTATTAGCTCATCCCACGCTCACAGCTTTGGCACAATGTGACCCTGCCTAATTGTGTGCCATGCTCATTTGTTCTCCCTGCATGATGTGACTATTGCTTATTTATTCTCCCCAGGGCTTCCATCCCACATTAAAATGATTGACTCATTTCATTCACTGCACATTTTCAAGCTTTATTTGATAAGCTCATTTCTCTTGGCATTCAAATCCTTCCTCTCGCAATGCTTAAAAGTTCTAATGTTACCGAGGCATATTGCAGTTCACAATCGGGTTTGTTTCTTCAGCTAATTATCCGAGTTGTGGAATAATTTTGCATGTGTGATGTTTTCTTTCCGGTGGAACTGAGCCATACAAAAGGCGAGACATTAACAATGCAGTCAGAATGGTTGAGGAGCCAATTGTGTACAGCAAGCTGGCAGACGCGGTCAACAAGAAGCTTAAGTGGGATTGGGACGCTGTTGAAGCTTAGCCAGAATAAGCAGAGCAAATTTGCATTCTGTTAAAATTTCTGTCTCCTTACAGACCTGTTTTCCAAATGAAAACACCATCAACCAATCATGTAATAAGGGAATGTTTTGACAAAAAAAGGAGCCTTTTGCAGTCAAGGGACTTTGGCAAGATTGTACATTTTTGTGATTTTCCTTTTTTTTTCCCCTGTTGACAGTCAGTGTTTCCTCCCTGAAGTGTCTGAATATCGACTAGGCCTCAGTGACACCACACCTGCTGGAAATTTCAGGTGATGTTTGTGTGCAATGAGAAAGACTGTAACAGGCATGTATAATTGTTAAACAGTTTGTATTCCTCTGAAAATGGACCAAAATGATATTGAAACTCTGTAAGAATACCAAGTCATAATACAGTATTTTAACCTGTCTTTGAAGCATTTTCAGTTCACTAATTGTTATGTTTTGCAAATAAGTGCATTCATTATGTTGTTAAATTTTGCACAACATTTAAAGCTGTGTTTCTGCAGTGGTTAAGACAATGTGAGTTTTCATTTCATTTGGTATTTCAAGAAAGGGCTAAAATCAAATATTTAATAAAAATAAATAAATAAAAAATCTTGGAGGGAGAGGATCCACTTACAACCAGAACAAAAACTGGTATTACTGCTTAAATTACAAGATTGAGTTTCGACAACAGCAAGTAAAAGAAAACAGAGTCCCTGCCTTCTTAATCTGTAAATACAGATGAACATCTTTTCTTTCTAACAGCCTTTTGTGATCTTTGATCATCCAGTTACTGGAATGTTTCTTGTTCTTTTGTAGGTATTTGACTACAAGCAGAATGCTGATTACAAGAGGAGAGAGGCAGCAGATGAATCAAAATCTCACAGCCTTCTGTTTTTCATCTGCTATTATGGTTGCAGAGTTGGAAGACTTTCTTCTGAAGATCTTATCCCTGAGGGGACCCGGCCCTTTGCAGACATTTCTAACATTTTGGAAATTACTACGATTGAGAAGATTCTACTTTTAGTATTATAATGACCTTCAATCATCAGTGAAAAGAACTAAAACATGTTCAAGCGGCTTAATATAAAAAAATACATTAAATGAACAGTGAATAAAGTGCTAAATATTTAAATCACAGTGATTGATAATTGTCCTGTGTAGACTTCTAGTTTTTTCTGATTAATGTCAGAGTACCTGAGAGCTCTGTGTTGTTCTTTTATCTTTTATATATTGATTTTATTGTGATTATTGCGTTTTTGTATGTTGTCATCTATAAAAGAAGACAAGCTTAAGTAGCACCCAGCAACAACTCCTAAAGTAAAATGCCCACAAGTCAAAACAGCCAAAATCTTAATGAGTCTGGCCAGATAGAGAAGGAATTTCTGCAAAATAAAAGAATAATAAAGGTATCAAACCCTTAACAAGTCTGCCTTTGTTCTTCCACTCCACCCACCACAAGCAGGCATCGCTGCAGCTCTGAGGGCAGCTCTGAGAGTTCCATGCCCATCGGCCTTCAATCACTTGGGATGTCTGAGTTTGACAGTATAAAGTCTTTCTTCTAGAACAAAATAAGACCCCTAAGCAATAGTGGATGAGCTGTTAGTAACTATGCACTCCATGGGGAAGTAGATCAAGCTTAGTAGTACAGTACACACAAAGTGCTGGTTTGGGATAAGACAATGGACCTTTGAAAGCAGGACTGGATGCCACAACGTTCCCCCATTTCTTGCCATTTGCTTCCCTGCAAATGTACCTTTGTTGTTTTAAAACTGACACGAGTAAAACAAAGTTCCCCCCTTAAGTTCTACAATAAAAGTGTTCAACTATGTAATGTGACGCAGTTTTCGCAACAAATTTGTAAGTGTTGCTTTCTACCAGCAGCAGACTTGCAGGAGAAGATCGCAGGTCTGCTGCAAAACGTTGAATTGGCAGGCCTTAAGATATCGATTGAATTTTGAAATGATGTGAGATAGGAGGTAAGTTATGCACTTACTGGCAATATGGATGGATTTATTTAGTATTAACTCACAGATGACTTGGTTCCTTTTCGTGATTGAAGCCATATTTATAATACTTCCAACATTAATGTCAATATTCATCACTTTGAGTGTCTGAGAAAACTAAAACTTGCCAAGTATTATTCAATACCTTGGATCGTTCTATAATTTCGTGTTCATCCTTCTATATCATGTTATTGATATCTTGCAAAGAATTAACTGATATTTGCCAGTACATGCACTCTTAATGACTAGGAATATATAGTTGTATACAGTTAAAAGTTGAAAATAATTGATTCCACTGACAAATTGTGAGTCTGAGGATAAATTTAATGTTTTGCATCATTTCATCTAGTCCCAAGCTGTTCTAAAGTTCCATGATTATCCTGATTAATGGGGGAAAAATGTTTTTATCAACTCAAAAGGTGAAAAAAAGCATTTCTGCATAAAACAAAAGCGCTGCAGCTCCAGATTGTGTCGGTGTGCGACAAGTCTAAGTTCCATCGACCCATTTCATATTCATGTTTGCCTTTCAGATTTTTATTGCATTAGTTGCCGACAGCCAGATGAGTGCAATCGGTGCTAAATATTTACATGAAAAGCATTACTTTTAAAAGATATTGGAATAAATTAACTCTTCATATATTCAATCCTAAGTGTGGCAATGGTGAAATATGTGTATTAGATGTCGTTTCATTTTACTCATCAGAAAACATTTGTACTTTTTCACTCTGATAATATTCAACCAGTCGTCTGCTGACACAAATAGTAACCTTCTGTGTATTTTCCATTTTTAAACATATTGCAGCAGTCCTTTAATGCATGACATGGAGACAAACATGTTTACATATAATACAGCTGCACCAAAAAGGTTAGCATATTCCAGGTTACCAGAAGCTGTGACATTATTCCCAGACCAGGATTTTGTGGGGTATCAAATTGAGCAAGCTTTAATAAAATACACTATATATTTATTTAATTTTTAAAATAATTATATTTGTTGCACAGTAAGAAACTTGTCGTTGAGGCAAAAAGTAGGTACTCGTCTTTGCAGGAAGTTTTTGTTTTGTTTCATTTTTCTTATACATCCCCTGCTGTCTGTGTTTATTCAGTTCAAAAATATCACAGTTCAGTGGTTTTAATCTCTTTTCCCCCTGTGAACATGCTGTTAGTCACAGGGATGCAACACACAAACAGGCATTAATGCTCCAGCTGGCCATTGCACACTGATTTGAAAGCCACTCTATCACAAAAAAGCAGTTATAAAGTGAAGGACAGCTAACAACCAGCATACATACCCTCCCGTTTCCATCATAAACCACATGTGGGTTCAAACCTGCTGAACGTAAAGGACTACAGAAAACAAGAGGTGAGGTGTGGGGCTGTGTAACATTCAAAATTCAATCAAGTGAAGGCCATCTCCAGCGGGGTAACAGCATGTGGAGGCAGGGGGGGCGGATAGGGGCGAACTCAGCTGAAGTTTCCACTGGGCCTGCTGAGCTCCTAATGCAGCCTTGGATGTAATTGGGTCCCAGAAGGCTGTTCATTATTGCTGGTGAGCGAGGCAACAAAACAAAAAAAAAGAAGGGGGAAGTGGGAAAAAGAAAATGTCTCATTCTTTGCTCAGTGCCTTTGTCCTGGCAACATTATGGGACACGAGTTAATTAAAAGAGCACTTGATGCCTCTGTTTTTCTCATCAATCTCGCTTCTGCTTTTATTACGTTTGTAATGGCAGTGGAGCTCGTCGCTGTCAGCCAGCAGACTTTAAACCAGCGGGGAGAGCAGTTAACATGAGGGACAACTCATTTCAACAAATCTCTCAGTGGTCAACATCTAACATCAGCATAATCTCTTCATCAAGTCTCGGGCCGAGAATATGCAGTCTGCAGGGGATAGATGCCTCTTACATAGTGGCAGCTTTAATCATCCGGGCGTGGCAGAGGAGCCCGATTAAGAGGCGTGGTTCTGCACCTAATCCTGCAGTTCCCATCCACACCGCCTTGGAGGCCATTTTAATTCTGTCATTACAGGGCCCTTCTCTGGAAAGCTGCAGTAAAGGTGACTGCTGACACTGTCATTCACAAGGACTATTTTAAAATGTCAGCCTGTAGCTGAGATTTGTCTCATTAAAGCTGGCGGAGTCCATTATATCCATCCCCTCCTCCACCTGCCACACTCAATCAAGAAAAACTCAGAATCGAAGGGGTCGAGGGTGCACTCATAATGTGCCTATTTGCATGAGGGTTACAGCAGACAGATGATCACTGACCAACAAGAAAGGCGTGAAGCGGTGGGAGAAAAACAGTTAGTTACTGAGCTCTTATTTGTCTTTCCTTCTGGATCCATGCCAGTTGGAAAGGCAGGTTTTAGCAGATGCTTCGACGTGCAACTGTGATAAAGACAGCCGAGCATCATCCAAGCTTTTGTTCAACAGTCTTGTGACCTGAAGATTTACATACAGCTTCGGCAAACCCAGAAACAAGATACATCTTCACAGCGGAGGCACTGAAAAGCACAGGGATCACATTGGTAGATGTGTTGCGTGATCTGAGCGATGGGAGGACAGATGTGGGTCCCTTTTTTCCTTCCCTCTGATTTTCCTTCACCCCTGCTAAAAACTGTGGAAACAAACACAGTGGGAATTTTATTACAACCATTAATATTGTGGAGCTGTATTTTTGTGTTCCCTTCGCTTTGCAAAAACAAGACCTTTGTGAGATGAAGGTTGTTGAAAGAACAAGTTCCAGAGTGCAATAAAGTTTTGAAAGTTGGTTCACTGAAAGTTTTTGTTTTTGGCTATCGTTACAAGGAATTGCTTTAATAATCATTAGGCTCCAGCTTTTTAAGCTTTTTTTTATGATTGTATGTTCACTCAAAGACAAAAACACACATTTTAAGAGACATTGTCAAACATTAGATGAAAGAGAAGTACCTAGAGGGCTATATAAAACAATTTACTGTTTTCCTAATGTATAATTTGTTGTTGGGAAAAACAATTAATTTTAATCCACATAACTTCCCAATTGATCATTATCCACAATTATTTGTTGAAGTCTTATTTTCTCTACTTCCTAATTAAGGTTGTGGCAGAAGGAAAAATAATTCAGTTGTTGGCATGCTGGCATGAGCACAGCTGAGAACTAGTAAATTAATCACCCACCGTTGTTTACTCTTGCTTGTGCATCTTGTAAATATAAATCACTGAACCTGCAAGTAGGCAATTTATGGGCTAAATTTGCATCGCTTTCACTTATTAAGTTATCATTTGTGCCACCGCAAAGCCAACCTAAATGTGCGCACGTTAATCAAATATCACTAAAAAAGACCTTTGAGAGCCTAAAATATTAAATCAAATAGTCTAAGATTACAAAAAAATAGGTAATGTTTATTTTCTCCCATTTACATCAACTGTTAAAAGACGCATGAGATTGAAGAACAAACACAATGTTTACAATTTATCCACAGCTGCTTTATATTTCACCCAGGGATGCTCCAATCAACCGGGCACAGTTCAGAAATTAGATGTTCCTCTTCATCGTCTGCTTTTTCTATTCCTTAAACGCAACAAAATAACTCCCCCCATTTTCAGACTTTAAACACAGCAACAATCAATATGTACATCTTTTTTTTTTAGATGAATAAAAGCCAGATAAAGGTAACACATTCAAGCTAAATGCAATTTTTTTTTAGCTCTTGCATTTTCTATTGCTACTTTTATCAAGGAATCTGCACCACATTTCCTCTTGCAATTCTTTAACAAACAAAAAGAGAGAAAAAGAAATTGGCTTTATCCAGGAAAAACCTGATCGGTGCATCTTTAATCTCAACCACCTGAGAGAGCAGAGTCCGTCCAAATGATCCTCTTGAAAACTATTTTTCTTTAGCACAAAGTACAAAGCAAAAGATTTGTTTGTGTTTTTAAATGAGAGCCATGAAACTTTGACAGTTAACATCAAGAAGTAGCAATGCTGCAGTGCACTACTTTGCTGGAGCGAGTTCAACACCAAGAAGAAAAAAGGTCAACCATCAAAGCCTGCATGACAGTTGTGTGCGTTGCAATCCAGCTGTATGGAGCAGTACAGTTCGAATGACGCTTCAGTCTGTGGAGCAGCCCTTCAAGGTGACAAACGCTGTTCCACCCACCACACAAGAACTACTATATAGACACAAAGAAGCAACACTGAATTTGTTTTTTTTTTCAGCCTCCGACAACAGAATTTAAAAAAAAGGTTTTAATACATCTAGTGTAAAATAACATTTTTGTCAAGCAAGCAAATGTCAATGTTGAGCATATAAACAGAGAAAGAATGTAAAAACAGTGGATATTGTGTTCCTTTAGTATCGTGAGCCTGCTGAAGGTGGAGGGAGATTCAGTGTTGTTTAGGACTCATACAAGCCTTATGCAAGTTCT